AAGAATGGAGAAACAAACTCAAACTTGCTACTACAAGCTTGAACGAGCAAGCGGCTGCAAGAAAATTATCTTCTTTCAAGGAAGCTTTTAATATCTCTACACTTTTAGAAAGCTTATCAATAGAATCCTAATATTATTTTGTATAAATATATATCTTTCCTTCATAATAAATAAAATTAAACATGCAATTTTAATATATTTTAATTTTAGTTTAATATTTTAGTTTAATATATTTTAAATTATATATATATCTTTTATATATATATATATATATATATATATATATATATATATAATATATTTATCTTTTCTATTTTTATCACACATTTATATATATATATATATATATATATATATATATATATATATATTTTAGTATATTTATCCTATTAATATATATGTACAATTAATTTATTTTATTTAGATATATTGACACATAGAAAAAATGTTAGTATTGAACTCGTAGCATTCTTATTTCCATATCAAAACGATCTTTTTGATGGATAGTATTTACAGATTGTTTCTAAAACTCATGTTAGTTGGCATAAATTAAGGAAAAGTCATTTTATGTAATTGTACATGTGATTATACAGTGAATTTTTTGGCAACTTTATTCTTCCAGTAATTCATTACGCAATATGCATTACCTTTGTATTTACAAACTTTCGATTTAATTATAAGCAATTAAAATTCAGGCGTATAAGTAACAGTCATAATAATTGACTAAACATTCAACAATAGGCAAACAATCTTATGTATACATATATTCTTTTGTACATACATATGTATGTATATTTTCTGCATTTTCATACATCTTTCCCTAATATACAAGATGTCCCATGATTCAAAGTTCATATAAGCGCATATTATTGAAATCATTTAGAGCATATTATTGAAATTATTTAATAAACATATGCCTGTTAAATGCTTCCTAACAGAACTACAACCATTGATGAGAATATTTTCTGTCAGTATAATTGTTTATCTTACCCCTGAACTTTTTTGGGGGGCATATGAAGCTCTAAATGACTTCAATAGTTTGCCTTTAATATATGGATCTGAGACACCTTATAAGTATAATGACAATAAATCATTTGAGAATACTTCAAATATTCATTTCAATATATTAGAAATTTATCCTAAAATACAGGAACATGTATATAGCAAATAAATATTTAAAAATGTATAAATAAACAGAAATATTCACGAATTTTCATTGTATGACACAATATATTTATAAAAGATATTTATCGCATACAATTAAAAAGTCTAATCTTTAAAAGTCTAAATAAAATTTATTTATCCTTCTTTTTCATGTATCGCAATTACGATTAATAAATTAATATTCAAAATGTAAATACGAAAAATATTTGTCTGAGCGACTAAATTTTTTTAATGCATTAATGATAAGTATCTTTATTTTATATGACTGTTTTACAAATGTTGGAAATGAAGTTTAACACATTCTCTGTTTTTCTACAAAATCAAAGTTTTTAGAAAGATAGAGAAACGGTTAATCTTTCATTTTTTAATTTATATATATATACACATATGTAACTTTATATAGGAACATAAGTCCATAATAATATAATTACATATGTATGTGTGTAATATAATTACATATGTGTACCTCGATATTGATTTTACTTGCTCTACAGTATATTTTATATTTACATTTTCTTAAACATGCCTATCTAGAAATTCGCTCAAACATTTGTGGCATCAAATTTGTAATCACTCATACGTTAATAAAATAATTAAAATATTATATATCGTACTACGGATTTTCTTTCTGAAGAAAATTAATATTTTATTACAATATAACTAATAGAACACTTCGCAATTATAGACTAGCATAAGATAATTGCACGAAAATAACGTAGCTCGATTTATTAAATCCTTTTTACGTTATAGCAATATGATAGATAATATACATAGTAAAACTATAAAAAGCTTTGACTTATCGATTAGCATTATATTTAATAATTAAATTATATGTATATGAATACATTATAAACAATTTTCATCGTAATTATATATACACGAACGAAAATTTATTATATTAAGTAAATTTTACTAATTGTTAATAAACTATATGTAATGTTTCTATGTCGTGATATTTAAGTATTTAATTATTTTGTTCGTGAAATAATTGTACTAATTTTTTTTTAAATGACTGTGTTAAATATTTTTTAAATATTCTTTTAATGTATAATGCATAAAAAAAATATGTAGAAAATTGTATTAAATTCAGTCCTGCAATCTAATATTAAAGTGAAAGTAAAACACATCTTATTAAAAGTTTAATTTCACAATTTTACTCTCTTATTAGATTAATATATAAATATATTTTTAAATATTGTAGATAGTTTTAAGTGTATATATATATATATATATATATATATATATATATATATATATATACATACATACACACATACAGGGTAGATTATTTTAATTAATACACGCGAATAGCTCAGAAACACTGAGTTAAATCGAAAAATGTTTCAGACATAAATTGTATGGCTTGAAGGGGGAGATCACTTTTATGCACAAAATAATGTGAGGAATTAATTAGTGTAAAGAAAAAATATGTAATTATTAATTGCAAATTACATATTTTTTTCCGACACAATTATGCGTTTTCTTTACATCAATCGATTTCTCACGTTATTGTGTGCATAAAAATATTAAGATAAGATAATCGAAAAATAAATATTTTACAAGATATTTTACGGTTTATGTAAAATTAAGAAATTATTTCAAGCCCCATAACGCGAAAAGTACTCAAACCAACGGTATCATCTTATGTCTCTCATACAACTTATGTCTGAAACATTTTTCGATTTAACGCAGTTCTGAGATATTCGCGTGTGTTAATTAAAATGGTCTATCCTGTATATATACACATATGTGTGTGATGTATTTTGTCATAATATATATTATAGCATTTTCGAATGGTTCAATTACAGACATTATATTCTTCAGAGACTGAATGAAGAATGGCTGTAATTGGTCAATGATGTTTATTAGTAATCTATCTCAGAGTGATTAATCCGTACAATTTGAAAATGCCATTAGATTGCGATGCGTACTTTTGAATTAAATTAGGCAAAGAAAAATAGATATCATGATGATAATAAAAAATAAGACATCTTTTTTAAAACCGAGCTTCGCATTTTCGTTAATTATTCTATAGACATTCACACATTCATATCATAAAAACTATAAAACTCGCAATTATTATGACAATGATAATTCCATTCAGTAGCAGAAATTATGATGAAAGTGCTAAAGTATTTTTCTCAATATCATATCGCGTATAAATAGTCATTAGTGATGTACGCGCGTAACGATAACTCTTATACATATATAGAAAATATATTTTTACTAAAAGCTCTCACAAAAAAGCTCGAGCATTATCCAAGCATACCAACATGTATATATGTATATAAGTTTCACATACATTTCTATCAGTATTTATATCTAAATGCACGTTAAGTAATAGGACACGAGTAAAGTTTAAGTCTGGATTCACTTACTCCTCCTTGTTTCTCATTTTCTCATTTTGTATTCTTCTCTCTTTCTCGTTTTCTATTCTTTTTTTATATTCACCCTCGTCTTTTTGTTCTCTCGTTTCTCCTCTTAGAAGGATTTTATCACAGCGCATTTCTTTATCAAATACAAAATGCTGGCACAATCATTATTAATCTTCGCAATATCTCCATATTTAATAAAATTAATACATTGACAAAGAAACATTTGCATTTACAAATTTAGCGTTAAATATTAACTGTATTTAATTACATGAGAATCGTACATATGTAAACAATCTTACATATCATGCATGCTATCATATATGCCGAATTAAATGTCTATGTACATTTATATGTTTATACGAATTATATACGGCTACATTTAGCACTAAATTCGTAATGCAAATGTAAATCTAAAATTCTAGAAGAGGAAAAAACAATGAATGATATTGAGAAATCGCTATTTATATATCTACAGAATTTTACTTTTGTTATAGAACAAGCTTTGCTTAATATATTATTGGAAGACGAGAACGGTAGACTATCAGGAAAGTTAAATAAATAATACATATGAAAGATTAAGCAAACAGAAATAATCGAAGATTTTCTTCAGATTCTTTCCCATCCATAATCTATGTTGTCGTCAACAATAATAATAATCGAAGATTTAAGAATGAAAATAATTAAAATAATACAAACTTATTACCTCTTTTATAATTTCTATATTTATTAGAGTGAAAAAAAATTATATAGAAAATGATATAGTTTATTTTACCAAAAACATAATGTTATTTAATGACAAAGATTTTTTAATGAAGAATGAATTATAAAAATTATTGCACATTTTTATGATTGTAATTACCTTAGGATTTCAGTTATTATTACATCTTTCAATTATTACAAAAACTGTTGTTATGCGTAAAATATGATTTTTTCATAATAAAAATAGAAATGAAAAATCTATATATCGATCACTTTAGTAAATATACTGCAAATTAGATAATTTGTTGTAAAAATTAAGCTTATTTTTTTATATTAATCTCCTCAAATTTTTTGTAAATAATTTTAAACATTGATCTAGATTCCATAGTAGAAATATAAAGCTCGAAAAGATATTATATACAAGAGATCAAAATTTAAAATTTGATGTAATTTATATACATACCATATATATAAATTAATTAAGCATAATGCTTGCTTAAAAGTTGAAATATAGCGCATTTCTAAGAAGTACTATGCCAAAATTTTACAAAATAGAAACTAAAGTAAAAGCAATTTCGAGATGATTCTTTATACATGGAAAAATGAGATTTAATTATTAAATCTTCGTACACAATTTTTCAACTAATTTCTTTGATGCATAACTAAAAATGACTCAATTTAATTATTTTATTTAACTATAAACATTTCTTTTACTTTTATAATTTTACTTTTACTTTTATAACATAGTGTATTATTAGTAAACTAATTGTTAATCGATGAAATTAAGAGATTTTATGGATTTATCTGATTTTCTACCATTTGATCCTATTTCATATCCATTTACATCACTGGCAACAAAAATTAATTCTCTTTAATTACACATTATAATGAATGTGACTATTGCTAATGTCCTAAGATTTTACTCCTAACACTTTATTTTTCCATGTCTTTGATTATGATTAATGAATAAAAATTGAATTCTAAAATAAAAATATAAAAATGTATTCCATGTTGCAGTTTTTATCGTTGCATTTCAATTACGATCCATTCATTATAATATATAATATATATTCTACATAAAAATAATCTATATATAAAATAATATATTTATATTTCATTTTACTTATCTCTCATGACGGTGGGCTAATCTCACGCTTGTAACAATTAACGCAATTAAAGTTTACCTCTACAAACTTCTATGTATTTCTTTGCATTTTGTAATATGCGCGGGCGCATATTGGTTACGTATGATACGATTATTGTTGATATAAAACTGTTGAAATAAAACGGTAATCATAGTGCATGAAACTGCGTATTGTCATATATAAACAAAAAATATTCCGATGTATTCATCTGTATGCATCAAAGAATTTTAGAAGTATAATTAAAAAACTAGTAGAACATAACAATTTTATCTCTTTTTCTCTCTGCATTAATCAACGCAATATATATATTTACAATATAATTCACCCAACAATTCATTTAGAATAATTCGTCTCGCTTCCAAATATATCTATATTCTCTTCTAAATATCTTCGATATTCGTGCTTTCCAAGTGATCGAACAAGACACATGCTGTTAATGTTGTCTTTACAGTTTTGACTTTTATTCACTGTTATATACTCTCCTTTCTGCTATCTCATTTCTTTTTTCTACACGTAAACGGTTAAGTTGCATATTGTTTTCAAAAAAGCAAAAAAAGGAGAAATCAGCTACAATAATAAATGAAAGCGATGAAAGAAACTTTCGAATTTGAGCAATTACGCTTAATGATTTTCCACCTTGATTTGTAGCACTTGGAAATTTTATAAAAGTTATTTCGAATTCATCTCTTTCAAAAGTACGATAGTTTCCAAATTATATGTAACTGTGAGCAAGAAAAGAATTCAACATTAATTAGTTCAAATCAATTAACACAGAGCTTGCTAATCTATGTACAATTAAGATTGATAATTATAAAAATCGTGCGAAAACTTATTCATATATCGCATTCACATATTCTATGAAGTTTTTATAATTTCATTCATTCATCTTCAACCTGCCATACTCTATAAGATGTGAGAGATGTATTTACTTTATATTTAGTTATAAATTCATAAAATTCTTTAATCCAATCTTGCTTCGTATTTTTTCGTCTTAGTCTCATTTAAATCAATCACTTCATCACACGATAATGAATAAACCCTACCTGTAGTTTATATGGCAATTCGACGCAAAGATCGATATTCAGTCTGTGTATAGGTCTATTTCAATCAGAAAAATTTTCTTACCATTTTTTTTAGACCAGCGCTTCTTTTCTCCTTTTTGCTCGATATAGGTGTAACATTACTGCTCCCAGATTCGTCGCTTTCCTCGATTAAACCGTTTGCGGTTCTACCATTGATGTTACCGTCGATGGTCTGTGACAATGTCTTCAAACCTGCGGAACTAAATGGGAAAGACCTATCGTTTGAATATTCTAAATCCTGGCTCCACTCCCACTTTTCGATAGAGTTTGAAGAAAACTTTCTTTTATTTCTCGTACTCAAAGCAGTCTTCATGAAAGACGGCGAACTTAATTTCGCGCTCTTAAGAATACCACTGGTTCTAAAGGAACCATTCTTCGATCCCCCGATCTTCGATTCGATCGTAGCCAATCCTTCAACAGATCTGTGCCCAGTCATTGACGATGAATTAGATTCGCTGAGTTCGTCGTCTTGACGAACAAGTTCGGAATCTGATTCTATCTTAAAGACTTTATTTTTCGGCAATGCAGGCTGCGCGATTCGTTCTCTCTTGTCTATTTGATCGTCGAACCAACCTACGACAGCCTCTGGTGCAGATTCTGGCCTCTTGTCAATCAAGTTCTGCGAGTCTTTAGAATGTGAAGGTTCTATGGATGATGCTCTTCTCGATGACAATGTTGTACCATCAGGGATCACATTCAATACACTCTTATGACGAATTATTTCTTGCTTTGCATCGACATTAATTCCTGTTTTAATTCCGGCAGAAACTATTTCCTTTTTACGTTTCTTTTTTCGCTCCTTTCTTGTCTCATGGGGTTGGTCGTCGATCATCAGCTCGTGATATGTGCCACTAATGTGAGAAGCGATCTCGCTAGGTCGCCGTTTTTTCGTTTTCTTCGTAGCGGTGTGAGAACTAAAATTCTCCGCACTTTTTCGACGCGTGTTCTCCTTTTTTGTATTAGATTGCAATTTCTCTTCCTCTTCAAAATCTCCTCTACGACAGTAAGAGAGAATCACAATGATAACAATGACTTCTAAACAGATCAATAAAGCATGCTGAACAATAGCGGATATTCGACTTCGCCAGCTGTCACGATCATAAAGAAGAATTTCGACTGATTTCGAAAGTATAGCGATTTCCTCTTTTAAAGTAGCGATCTCTTCCACCCTCTTGGCTTCGCGTTCCTCACCCTTTCGAGACTCCTCACCCATAGCAGCTACTGCGCGTTCTAATGAGCGCTGCATTTCTTCGACTTGTTTCTTGTAACGACGACTTAATTCTTCCAGATATTGACCACTGAGTGACATATTCCTCTCTAAAATCTAAAAAATTCATATAAATAATTATTTTTATAAATAAATAATTGCAATATTTAACTGTTTTATGCCTGTTTTAATAAATAAACGATTGCAATATATTTTCTTTTTTCTCAAGTTGTTTAGTATCTTTTGAAATAATCTCTTGTAACAATATTTCTAAGTAATGTTCTTTCTTACCTTGATTCTATTGGACAGTCGAAGAAAAACAGACTCCTTCTGAGGCGCAGCACTTGCTGTAGGTTGGGTTATTGATGACGAACTAGATGCCCCATTCTGAATGTTAACTGTGTCACCCTCCAAATCAGAAAATAATGTATCTAGCGTAAGATGATCTTGAGATGACAATCGAACTTCTTGCTCGTTCAAATCTTTCATCTGTTTCCCATCTTGCTCGCCATTTTCCGATTTGTTTGTTTTGATTTGAACAATAGCCTCGCCACTTTCTGTATCAGGCACGAGAGTATCACCAGTTTTTTGATTGTCAAACGAGTTCGTCGACGGACTATTTATAATTTTTGACGTCATCTCGACAGCAGTTCCCACAATCGGTTCTTCGACAATTTTCAATGTTGACGTTGGATCAGACGGCGGCGGAACAGTTGTCAGCACTTCTGGCTGCAATGTCTCCTCTGTAAGTTCCTTACTGGGTTCCAAGATCGGTACGGAAGATTCTTTCTTCATATCCTCCTTGCTGAGTGTCTTCGTGGGTTTGATTTGCGATGCCAGACTATCCATGCTGGCAGAAGTCTTTATTTTGGATGCAAAATTGATATCTTCGGTTTCTTCATTCTTAATATCCTGACCCAATAATTCCTTGCCGGGAAACGTGGCAGATTTGCAAGCAGGAGAATTTGAATCTGAAGTACATGTAACAGATGCTTGATGATGAGAAGTGGCATCACTATTATCGGTCTTAGTAGATAGAATATTCTCTCCGGCAGCGTTCTCAGAATTGTTCACGGGAATTTCGTAACTCGTGTTCATCACTACCTTACGGTCTCTTGTTGCTAGAACATTACACAGTGCTACAATGTATTCGGGTTTAAAAACGGAAGCTAAAAAAATTGCTTGGAGATCTTCCGCCAAATTAAATCGCGTCGTATCATTATAATTTATGTCTTCCTTTTTTTCTTGCCAAGACGACTCGATCTCCACACCGTGAAAACTACATAATCTTCCCCGTCTCAGAGTTCTGTTCACCAAATCGATCTTAAGCAAATCGTTCAACTGCCGATCTCTGCAACTGACCAATTGAAAAACGCTGGCAAACTTTTGATCGGTGCAATTACCGCAGAGAATTGTATATCTAGGCGTCGTACAGCTCGTGTATGAGTTGTTCAAGATATTACCATCATCAATACTCTGCTGAATTTCCGTGATATTGTTCCCAGTGAGATCGCTAGACTTCACTAAAACCTCTGCGGCTTTTTTCATAAGACTTATTACAGCATCGCGCGCGCTACCGAATAAGTTTCTTGGTGGATCACCGCCCTCACTGTTCAACAGCTCCTCCTCGTCGCTATCCTCATCGTCGTCGTCCTCCGTATTCCTCTCTTGTAGAATCTGATTCTCCGTCTCGGTTTCCAACACTTCGAACTCGCTGGTACCATAAGCGCGAAACAACGAGACAGGACAGAAATGTTCCGAGCCATAGTGCGATTGTAGCTCAACCTTGATGAATTTACCAAAGAAGTGAGGGTGCAGAGCAAAACTCTGAATATCTTTCACGTCTTTAGCGGTAAACTGACCAACTGGACTCCAATCTTTAGTGGGGAAACGATCGCTCACATATACGGAGAAATCTTTCGGCGATGAACTGAAGAGCTCAAAATTTGCTAGCTCGATCTTTTTCGCTTGGATCGCCTCACAAAGTTCGACAACGAACCAGACGCGCGACGTACAAGCGTTCAGCATGTACTCGTCCCGTGTGGACACCAAAACGTTTTTAGCGCTATTCGCTTCAGGATTAGCTGCCACGATTTTGGCGCCGCAATCGGGAGAAGCATAATTCTTGGAACGAATCTTCATGCCACTTACGCCTCGGCCTGGACCACCCGGAGTCTGCACGGAAGCATTTGGATGAGCTGTAAAATAAATAAAATAACCGTAAATGAAATATATAATTGAATCTAACACAATGTATTGTCTACTGCAATTGTATCTAGTTCAGTGAAATACTACATATAATATTATAAATAATATATAATATTATATAATATATTATATATAATTTATATTTATTTATATTATATTATATATAATATAATATATTATATTATAATATAATGTATTATATTATATATAATATAATATTTATTTATATTATATTATATCTAATATATTATATTATATTATAATAATATAATATTATATAAATATTAACAAATTTTTTGATAATAAAAAAAAAGAAAGAATAATTACTTTTCTTCTTCTCAGCCTCCTCCAAACGTTTCTGGGCCCACTCGCTGAAAGATGGTATATCCTCATGTGGGTCGGAAGGACCCGAAGAAACGAGTCCATCCAAGATGACCGCTGCAGTTTCATCTCTACTACCACCGATCAATTGTGCTCTGGCCGCTGTATCATTCAGTTCCGGTGCCGTGGTAAATGTCTCGTCGACCTTCGAAGACAACTCCTCCGGCACCTGAACTTGGCCGAGCTCCTCCTCGACTCTCGATTCCAACTCGTCCGTATTGACTTTCTGCTCCGCTCTAACGATCACCACGACCTCCGGCGCTTCTTCGGTGGATATTTTTTTCAGCAGAAGCACTTCCTCGTTGTCCTCGAGGGCCTCCGTGTCATTCGGTCGCTCCGTCGTCGTCGTCGTCTCGTCGACCATCAATGGTGGTTGAATCTGCGTCGTCGGCACAACGATCTCTTTTATATGCTCGGTCTGCCTTTGGTTATCGTTCAATAGCGAGGAATTTTTGATGGACGACCTCGAGGAAAAATCGCGATCGATCTTCGGCTCGGCCAGATTCTGCAATTCCGCCGCCGCGGTGTCCACCAATGTCAACACTACTGCCTGGCCAGTCTCGGAAATCCTGCGAACACGACAAATCGTATTAAAATCTTGTTATATAAATCGTGCTCTATCGCCAAACAATGTGATATTGCCTTATAAAAATCATAATTCTTAATATTTTTTAATGCTTTACTGCATATCTTAATGTTTAATTTTTAAATTTTGCAAAACAGTTTGTTTATTGAATACCATCTCCAGCCTACTTCTTAATATATTTTTACATGCAAAATCGACAGAATTTAATAAATTATGTCATTTTGTCATTGAATAAGTTTTCAATCATTCTTTTTTAATTAAAAAATTAACGAGAAAAATGGAAAGTTCACATGTTATTTATGCTTTTTGCACGTTCTTATTATTATAGTAATAATGTTAATTAAATGAATAAGTTTTACGCATTGTAAGATTAAATATTAATTAATTAAATAAATAAATTTTACGTTTTGCAAGATACTTACATACCTCAAAGATATCTTATATTTTTTAGATAAAATTTTAATATAATTATGTTAAAAAATTCACCGCTAAAAAAGAATACATATAGCATATATTACTAAAGAAAGATAAATATATTTCTATCTATTACTAAAGAAAGATATATTGAAAGATAAATATTGTAAAATATTGTAATGTCACTTCAAAGAAAATTGAAGATATTATAATGTATTATGCTTTGCGATATATATAATAATGACAAATGTGACCCTGTAGAATACTAAAATAGAATGTGCGCAATCACTTTCAGATGCATAGAATTTTCCAGTATCGTAATATCAGGTACATTGCAAATATGAGAGACGATAATGAGAATTGAATTAACATCGTATGAAAAAAATATATATGCATAAATATAGGCTAATTATCTGGAAATATGGAAAACATGTAACTGTTGCAATTAATTTTATATCAAAAGAAATCAGTTTTTAAAATATATCGTACATAAATTTTGTATACATACATAAATATCTATTTTTTAAATCATGCTGCATTACAATTTTTTTAAAGTTTTTCTAGGACTATGAAAAAGCTTTTATATTTCAGGTATTACAGTTTTATAATAATTTTAATAAATACTTTTCTCTCCGCTTTTTACTGAATTAAATATGTGAATCAAGAACAAAAACTTATAAAAAAAATTTAATTCTAAAATTTCATTTTTCCTAGAAATTTTACAAAATAAGCGATGATCGTGGAATAAACGTTTGTCGACGTTTTAGTTAGAAGCCCATTTCGGGCACAACGAAAACATCCCTGGGAACGCTTTCTCACCGATGATAGAGACAGGTAGGCATACACCATAATATCGCCAATATGGTTAAATAGAAGACAACCACTCGAAGAAGATGCCTCGGTTGCCCGGTGGGATTGTCAACCCAATGCAAGGGACATCCACCGTCGCTGTTCTTGACGATACTCTTGGCCATGACTTTAGGCTCAGGTACGCACGTTACTTCACACCACGAAGTGATGTGACACCATGACTTCACCATTGTCTTGCCCCGTCTTATCGTTGCAATTCTTCTTTCAGGTTTGTTCACCATTTCTCGTACTTTCATACGACTAAAGTTCCTCGCAGTCACTTTTATGATGATATTAGATAAAATGTCACACGCATAATATCTATTATATCAGGAATTTCTCATCATCGAACTGATTTTTAGCCACTGGAAAATTATAGCGATGTCTGAGATACATCACCTTCCTGTTCTGTTTTGAAAATAATGCAGAGAATCGTGTTATCGTGTTAATGCTTTCTCTTTGTTCCTTTTGATTTTTAAAGACACTTAAAATCATCTATCAGGGGATAACTTCGTTTTATCTAAATAAACTTTTTATCGATGGATTAATTTATCGTTTTATTACTCCAAATAAATTCTAGATAAAAAACATCAATATGTAATAAAAGTAAAAAATGAAATATCGCGCATCTAATGTGTCAGGGCGAATAATAAACGAGCAAGTTATAATATCAAAAGAATATAATTTATTAAATATGCAGCTTTTCTTACCCTGAATGTGAATCGCAATGAAATACTGTTCATGATTCACAATAGATGAAGAAAATACATAGATAAAATTTTACATATTATATATATTTATATATATATATATATATATATATATATATATATATATAATATACAGGGTGTTTCTAAAACTATGTCGGAGATTTTAAGGGCGTTCTAAAGATTAAAATAAGAAAAAAAAACTCATATAAACATGAGTCCAAAAATGCTTTTCCTCCGAGTTATAGCTCCCTAAAGTTGAGGGAAAAAATCGAAAAATGTATTGTAACTCTCGGAGACTTTTTCATAGAACGTTAAAGTTTTGCACAGCGTAATAATTAATAATGAGCTTCATTTTTATGTGGTTTTGACCATTTTTTCCCTCAACTTTAGAAGACTATAACTCAGAGGAAAAGGACCCATGTTTATATGAACTTTTTCTTATTTTAACCCTTAGAATACGCCTTTAAAATCTCCGACATCGTTTCAGAAATACCCTGTATATCTAGATGATCTTGGTCAATAAAACGCACGGATTGCATCTACCATGTACAAATTGACTTTAACCTGACAATATGTGCTAAGCAGAAAAATAATTCTGAAAAATTCAAATAAATTCTCTATATTTCTATATATTTCTGTAAAATGTAGTAACGATAGAAATAATATTCGATCGTTGATAAAACGTTTCAGCATATTTGATACTGTGATACGATATTTTTGGGTTTCTATCAAAAATATTTTAACGTGCTATTTAGTCCGAAATTAATTACATGGCACTCATACAATTAAGAAGCTCAAAGCATTTATTGATTCCTGTATATATGTTTGGAACGCTATTGATGTTGACATGCATATTCAATATTTGGAATTATGAATCGAGAACACAGAGCGGATCGTGCTAACGTCTTTCTGTCACATCGCAGTTTGATCACTGTCAACAACGTTGATTATAGTGATTCTAATGTAAATAGAATTCCAATAATAAAGCGATAATGTCCTTATTTGTTATTTCAAAAACAAAAATTCTTCTTTCTTTGAAAAACAAAAATTTCACGCTTTACCAGATGACATTAACGTGCCTTCCCACAGAAAAGATTTATTTATATTCAATATTAAAAGATTTATCGTACGAACGCTCACGGTACAATTGTAAAATATTTCTTTCCTATCGCGGTAATATAAATCTTCTCTCATGAACTAATATGATTTGACAGCTCGTGCATGACTGTCGCTGTGGTAATACGTTTCCGATGTCACGTTGAAAGTCGAACTTGATGTGAAAAACCGCGTGCTAGAAAAATATCGGCTAATGGTTTTTATATAACCAGTATCAACACTCGCGCATTTAAATATTGTTTGTGTCGGAAGAGCTCTTTTTAATACAAATTTAATACAAATCAACCGATCAATTGTGATTGAAAAATCACACAGCTATCATTGATAATAAAATCAGTGTATTTAATATAAGCAAAAATTGATGTACATCAATTATTAGTAATATTACATAATGTCACATAGTACAAATTAATTTAGAAAATTAGTTTCAATATTCCAATTTTTTCGCATTTTAAAAAATCAGCTTCTTTTTTCATTCAAGCAAATAAAAAATAACTTCTAATTCAACAAAAGCATTCTTGATATGTGACACACGCGACAATCGAAAAATCAAAACCTGGTATTACTGTGGCTAACATTTTAAGCTAACTTGAATAGCAGTTATTTGCAGAGTGCATTATGCTTATGTACCACACAGCAACGGAAAAATCGACTTCCGCGCTCTTTCGTTAAAAAAGATGATTATATCTCAATTACGACAATGGGTTCGAACGATCGACTTATCGTGTGTGCATTTAATCGGAACGAATGGCGCATTGTGAACAAACCCTCAGACGGAAAGGCGATGTCACCGCGAATGGTAAAAGCCTCGTCGAGATCGTTTTACGGTCTGGTGAGCATCGATCAATGAGCAGAGCCGGTTTGCGAGAATGACGAGTTTGCCGCTGAGAAACCGCAATCCTGTCTACTATCTGTGCAACTCGCTGCCACTCGCAAACATCGAGCTCGAATAGAGAATGCAATAGAGAATCTAGGTAAACTAACGATAATTGGCTCGGTAAAATAATCATCAGAAACTAAACTAGATACAACGATAAAAAATATTCGCCAAATTAGCAATAAAGATAAAAAAAAGATAAATAGCTATAATAAAAAATTATAAACTTTTGAAAAATTATAAAAATTATAAAATTATAAAATTAAAAAAGGACATATGTATAGAAAAATAACGAATTATTTTAATTTATGGATTATTCATCGTATCAAGATTTTCCTAAATACTGACAAAATCATATTACATATAAATCATGTTATATAAATCATGTATGTATCTCATTTAATATTAATCAATTAATATTAATTATTAATGGAAATAATTTTGCGTTTCCTGCCCTGATCAGCAATTGTTGAGCAACTTGGCGAATGTCTAGCATGCCTACATATGTTACTGTCAACGCCTATAACATAGTATTTTTCCCATTGGCTGTTAGTCTTGCTGCTGCAAGTGTTGTAGATTTCATTCACAAGTTACAATCAATTTAAATAGGTAGGCGAAATAGTGAACAAAGTATTTTCTTCAATGGACTATTAATAACTCTTCCTGATTCAGAATGTCATTCATACGTATTGTTACATAACGCAGTTACGCATATATTATAATGCGAATTATATAGACCAGAATATTAGAATATGTCAAAGAAAAAATAAAATAAAAATAGAAATTTTAAATTTTTATGTAAGTCTCTCTTGTAAAATTTAAATAAAATTTCAATGAATGACGCATGTAGAAAATAGGAGAAACTAATTCAAAACAAGATATTAAATAAAAATATGAATCAGCAAATATATATTTGTTGTCATAATTCTCATAAATATGTCATATTTCAACGTGTGATGAAAAGAAAATAACTACGCTAATAAATGAAATTAAAATGACGAGAGATAAATATTGTTATTTTATAATATATATAAATTCGCGAGAATATAAAATCGAGAGAAAGAAGATTTATACGCGATGACCCAATGGTGAAAACACAATTAGCTGGAGAAATTTATTCTTTAGAAAACGAAGCCTTATATATCTGATCTATAAACTTGTCAGTCGTGGAACTGGAACGACTCTTGAAATAATCTGGACTGGATTTTCCTCTTCAGATGTCTCTTACTTGTCATATATGAACATATTGTAGTTAAATATACAACATGCCGCTGTTATGAACGTATATAATGTGCATAAATTTTGAAATTATACCATCTCGATACATTATGTGAAAGAAACATCAATGCGACACAGTTGATTACACAGTTTATATACCAAGAACTTTAATTACCACTTAATTAAGTTACTTAACACGAGTTATAATTATGGTAATATAAGCAGGGAAAAATTATGCTCGCTGGGATCAAGTTCAAAAGTCTTAATAAGCCCGAGAATATGGAACTAGGAAAGTGTTAAATAAAAAATTTTAAAATATTAAAAATTTGAAAACAGCAAAGAAGATAAAATTAGAAAATAAAATGTTGCAGCTATGCAATTATAACTGCGCTGGAGAAAACAAATTGCATACACAATTCCAATTATATTTACTAAAATTTGGAATTATTAAATTTAATTATTTACAAAGATTAATTTAAAAAAATATTTATAATATTTGTATAATTGCATCGCGCGAACATATCGTTAAATGATATTTTAATGATCCTGAAAAATTTTTCAAGAAAAAAATAAAGATGATAATTAATATAAATATAATAATAAAAATAATATAATAATAAAATAATAATATAATAATATAATAATATAATAATAAAATATATTAATAAAAATAATAAAATAATAATAATAATAATAATAATAAATAATAATAATAAATTAATAATAAAAATAATAAAAATAATAATAATAAAATAATAAAATATAATAATAAAAATAATAATTTTTAAAACGTAACATGTGCCACGTTGAGAAAATCTATAAATCATTTATACAATCGGACAATTGGATTGTACATGCGTAATTAAATTCACTTGGAGATCTTTGAAGGAGTGTGCTTTTCCAATAGGATATCGATGATTCTTTGTGAAGGCACTAAATAATGTTCCTGTTCATATTAGCACGTCCTCCATTCCGTGTACTTAGGCGATCGATAAATCTCAAGTGACAGCGAAATCATGAAATGACTACACACGAAAGTAGCTTGGAAATTCTATCGACTTAACGGCTTTCTAAGTAGCCTTTTCTCGTAGGACGCGCAAAAATATAAGACTGTTCTTGGACATGGATCCTTTCTAACGTTACACCCCCGATTCTATCGTTGCAGAAAGGACTGATTAAAATCAGGTAAAAATAATATTTGTAACTTTCTATCCGTCATTCTGACAAAACATTTCATTTAGTTTCACGGTTTAGCTCCTATTAATCATATGCTTAATAATATCTCGTAATATTGTATAGCGATTATCGGGAAAGAATATTTGCGTTTGATAATTCATCAAACAGTTGCGATCTAATCACTCGATACATTTAACTGGGAGTTCTTTATATCTAGCCAAGACTAGGATTAAAGCTAACAAACGAGGAACCATTACTGGCTATTATTCATTAATCGAAAGTCGATGATCGACGATTATAATGAAGGAAAT